CAGGGTAGAATGGATACCTGGGAATGAAGTCAGCCTTTGCTCCTGTGAGATTTTGAAGACAAAAAACAAAGGTATAACTGTGTGCACAGTTGCAGGCTGCAAGAGGCAACATTTTGGAATTGTCTGCAATTCTTGCGTAATCCAATTGGACTTATTTGCCTTCGCTTCACCTATGCATAAGTTTTAGTAAATACCGTCGAAATTATTCGCCTTCGCTTCACCTAAGCATAAGCTTCAGTAAATCCTGTTGAAATTATTTGCCCTCAGCTTCACCTAAGCATAAGCTTCAGTAAATCCTGTTGAAATTATTTGCCCTCAGCTTCATTCCTCTCCATTATCCTGGCCTGAGCTGTATCTAGGCAACTACCAACCAAAACCCCTCAACCATGTCCAATCCTCCAATCCATTACCCTCCCGGCCACGCGATCCAGCCACCAGACCCCGGGGCAGTGCTACCCAACGTGTCTGGCAAAGTTCCACCGAGCGGCGCTGTGAAATAGTGTTGGCAGAGATGATAGGGCAAAGGGCTGGGAAGGCTCAAGCACCCAGAACACCAGCCGAGCCGAGCCGAGTTTTTGTAACAATTGCCGTTTTTCGCGTTGTTGGGATATGGATTTTCGATTATTATGTGGTTTGTGTAGTATTGGATTCTGATACATGCACATAATTAGGTCCGGGTCGGTCGATGAACAGAGCTCTGGGATGTTGGCATCGATGTTGTTTGGTAGCTACAGCTGTTGCTGCTCCTGAAACAGCAATCCTCGGCAAATCGTCATTCCAGTCCAACGCTGCCGGATACCGGAATTTTTCGAAAGTTTCGTAAGAGCTAATTCGTGATTTGCCTTTACTGAGCTTCACGGATATTTTGTATCCAGTTTTTTATAATGCGTTTTTTGCAGCTATGCAATGCAAAACGCATATTGACGAGGGTTGTCTGTGTGTCCATGTGTCTGCGTGTCTGTACGTCTGTGTGTGCGTCTGTCGCGCACTTTCGTCTCAACACCTATAAAAGCTGCAGGGCGGGAACTTAATCTACATGCACGAGCCGGCCCCAATCCCCAAAATTGGCGTCATCACCCGCGTGGTACCCGCGCACGGGCCCGCCAAAGTTTTTTTGGGGTAAGTTCATAATTCGAGGATTTGAGAAGCTAGAACGCTGAAATCTTAATGGGATGTTCCCCGTCCAACTGGGTGTTAATGCACTCAAAATAATCCCAATGGAAGCGTGGTATCCGCTTACGGGCCCGCCAAAGTTTTTTTCGGATAAGTTTGTAACTCGGGGATCTGAGAAGCTAGAACGCTGAAATCTTAGTGGGATGTTCCCCGCCCAAGTAGGTGATAATTCAGGAGCCGGGAAAGCTGGAAAGCTGAAATTTTTAGGGGCTGTTTCTTGCCAAATTGTTCAGCTTGAAACATCTGTCGGAAAAAACAGTGCCGTTAACAACAAAAATCTGCGGGGAACTATGCAAAATATGCATCTTCGCACGTGCAGCCCATGCGTTGGCCAATTATTTTGATTCACTTTCCTTTACAACTACTTTAAGTCGTGAATGAACAGAAAATTCTTTTATTTCAAGCTAACGAATTTTGAAGTTTCAGAACGATTTTTCACAGTTCTCAGCGCAGAATGAGCAGTGGTGATTCGATATCAACCTATGATTATTTGGTGATCGGTGGTGGTTCTGGTGGTATAGCGAGCGCTCGTCGGGCAGCCGAATTCAAAGTATCCGTGGGTCTGATCGAAGAGCGACGCCTCGGAGGCACATGCGTTCGTTTTACTTTTTTGCTTCAAAGAGTATATAGAAAAAGTGTAGTTACCGAACCTGGGTACCGCGTATGGCAGTAGATCGAAATTACCCCGGAAGATGTCGGGCCAGACCAAAGTAAGAGAAGTTTTATTACAAGTACGGGATATCAGTTACAGGCGCACAAGCGTAGAATTAATTCGATCACAAATAGGAACGAAGTAGATCACCGGTGAGACGAAGTAGATTGCGGGAGACAACGAATCGGGTCAGACGGCACAGTTGAACGCGGACCTCAAACATGGGATTCTCCGGCTTATATATCGTTCTTCCTGCAATTGCTATCATGAGTCACAATCTCCG